CGGAGCGTGAGAGCCATTGTGGTGCATGTGCATTTTCCTTATTACCCTAAAAGCCCGGATGGACACGTTGGAGGATGGCACGCCTGTGCATGTTGGTCAGGGAAGCAAGTTTTTGGAAACGAATGCGATGTATCCATGCATGTATTGGCCTTTCAGAACAACCGCGGTGCTCATTGGCAGGAAATGGATTTTGGCAGAATGTCATACTTCTGGCCGCACATCTGCAAGTGGTTGTTCTGCTTCTTGTTGCTCTGCCTGTTGTGCTGGTTGCTGCTGTGATTCCGCTGCTCTGCATCTGAAATTCTTAAACCAAAAGAATCTGGCATGACAGGCTTCACATGCAAAAAAATGTAAGCCGTAGAACAAGTCCATCACTACTTGGTTCTCCCTGGCAAGTCTCTCACCCTCCCTGGTAGGGCTGATGCGTCAACTCATGAGCTCTCCTCTGATCTGCTGACGGCTCACGATCCTGAGGCAACATGCGGGCACACGATCCTGCGGGGCACCGGCATTGGCTACCGCTTGCTTACTGGGTTCAAGGGAGATGAGTTGTACTTTATGAGAGAAGAGACTGAAGAGGGAAACAAAATGGTGGTTTTGGCTTGTGTGGATAGACAGACAGGTGTTTGCAATCAATTGTTTGCTTGAAAACTGACAACGAACCGGTAATGCTGAGTTTGCAGGCGAAGATCCAGGCAGCCCGAGCGACACACGGACTTCAGACGTTCTTGCAAAACAGTCAAGTGCATGAACATGAGACAAATGGGATTGCAGAACAAGCTGTGCAGAACATTCGCAATTCAGCTGTGACACTCATGACCCAGGTCACCAAGAAGACGGGCAAACCTATCCCTGTTTCTCATCCCTTGTTTGGTTGGAGTTTCATTCATGGGTGCACAATTCTAAATCACTTTTCTGTGAGAGGTGGACTGACTCCATGTGAACGAGCTTTTGGAGTGAGTTACAGAGGAAAGCTTGCCAGTTTTGGAGAACAGGTTTTGGCAGCGCAGCTGTATCTCCTGGACAGCACAATCGTGGAAATGTGCGTTTTGTCAAAATGGTTTGGATTACAAAGACAGAAAGGAGTGACATGCATGTTTGTCTTTCTTCTGAGGGTGCTGATTTGACTTCCAGTGTGAGGCGTTTGTCACCGGATGCGGCGTGGACTGGTGAGCTGTTTGAGCGTTTGCAAGGAACCCCATGGCAGTATGGTTTTGGCCAACTTGGCAACAGATTGGTGCCAGGCATGAGGAGCAGACAAGCAGCAACAGAACCTGCGTATCTGCCTGATGGATTTGCAGCACGAGAGAGGCGGGGGAGTGAATCACTTGCAGATGAGGCAGCGTCAGATCCGTCCAGCAATTCACACTCAAGACAGAGGTCTGAGCAAAGCAGTACAAGTGTGCTTCCAGATGATGCTATGCTTAGCAGTTTGGCAACTGGATCCCAGCCTTCAGGTTTGAAAAGAGAAACTGACCACACACATAAAAAAGTCGCCCAAGAAAGTCGTGCGAGCCGCTTTGCCTGATTTTGAGGCAGACCCACCTGAGGTGCAAGACAAGAAGGCGCGAATTGCAAGAGTAGTTGTTGGTGAAGATGAAAGTTTTTTTGATGAGGATGGACTGTATGATGTTGAGTTTGATGAACAGCTTTGCGATTTGGTTCCAAGCTGGAACATCCACCCTGATGTGGATATGTTCAATGAGGACTCAGGACCGCCTTTGCTTCCATTTGCTGGAGGTGAGTCGTCTTGAAGAAATGGGAGTTTTGAAGCGTGTGCATTTTCAGCCTGACTCGAGCAAGATCTTGAAGTCAAGATTGGTGTATGATTGGAGGTTCAGGAACAGTCAGTGGATTCGCCGTGGCAGGCTGGTGGCGAAAGAGCTGAAGATTTGGTCACCATGGAGACAAGATTTGTTCAGTCCTGCAACAACCCCAGCTGTTGTGAAACTGGTACCGCACGTGTTTACCACAAAAGGAGGTGAGTGGTGCTTGTACAGCCTGGACATCAAGGATGCGTTCTTAACTTTTCCCCAGAGGGATGAACGTTACATTGTCCATGAGAGTGCAGTGTTTCAGGTGTGCAAGTGCTTGCCTGGTCAAAGGCCAGCAGCTCAGTGGTGGTGCGAGCAGATTTCAGATGACATCGCAGCCTTTGGACTTCAGAAGAGCAAGGTATGTCCGGTGCTTTTCGGTGGGGACCAGATGTGTATGGCAGTACATATTGACGACATGATCGTTTGTGGCAGACCTGCAACAGTCGACAAGTTCATTGGCATGTTGGAGTCCAAGTATATTGTTCAGGTGACTGGTCCAATTTCAAAACCTGGAGAAAGTTTGCGGTTTCTGAAGAAGAAGCTGTTGGTGACAGAAGATGGTTTGCAGTACATGGTTGATGACAAGTATATAGATGCCATGCTTGGAGAACTGAGTGTTGGAGGAAGGCGAAAGAAGACTCCATGTCATCCTCAGCTTGCGAAGAAGGTGGAAAGTCCTGTGCTTGGAGGAGAAGATGCAACGCGGTGCAGAAGTGTTATTGGAGGCCTGTTGTATTTAGCCCCAGAACGAGTGGATTGCCAATATGCCATTGGTGTTTTGGCTGGAGCTATGGCAGAGCCCCATGAACATCACTTGATGTGCCTTAAGCATTTGCTAGGGTACATGTCTGAGACGAGGAGCTATGGAATCAAGCTCAAATGGCAAACTGCGGGCGAGAAAGTTTTTGGCCCAGGCGATACAGACAAGCCGGGAAAACGCATTGTTGAGGTGTACACGGATGCAGATTGGGGAGCAGCTGACAGACGGTCGACGAGCAGTGCGATTCTTTTTGCAGATGGTAATTATATCCATGCATATAGCAGAAAGCAGCAGTCGATCTCTTTGTCTTCATGCGAATCTGAATACATTGCTTGCGCAGGAGGGATTGCAGAGGGTCTATATCTACAAGAGGCCTTGGCAACTCTGACTCAGCAGAGTCCTGGAGATGGTTGCGAAGGATGACTATGCGAAGTCAGTGCGGGTGATTTCAGATGGACTTGGAGGAGGTTCAAGCACAGTGGCAGCAGCAAAGAAGTGCATGCGTGTGCTTATTGCAACTCAGATGGCAACAGGCGCCTTGGGTCAGCATCAGGCTATGACGTGTTCAGCAGATGGTGCATTTGCTGGCGATGTGGAGCAACAGAATAGCAATGGCAGCATGATGTTTTTCTTGTGTATTCTTATGTGCGTATTTGCAGTTTGCATGTATGGAGGATGCATTGTTCGGAAGCGGTTGAATTTCCTTGCAGCTGATGTGGTAAGTTTGCAATGTGCTTTAGATGAGACGCACAGATTTGGAGCAGAAGATTGCCAATGCAGCATGCGATGATAGCCCTGTACGCTTTCATCCCAACATTTGGTGGGAGTTTGATAGACTTCAGCGCCAGACCAGGAACACTGCAGAGAAAATCGAGTGGCTGTGACAGAACCCTGGGACTCAGATTTTGACAGATTTGATGTGGAGCCGGAGGAGCTTTTCAACGACGCCAACTCTGAAACAGCAAGACTGGCATGGGACGCATATGAAGCTGGATATAGCACAGTGCGTCAGTTCATTGACAGCATGCCAGATTCTGACAAAACAGATTCCGATGCAGACTTGTGAGAAATGAAGCCCGGTGTACGGTGAACTGCACCAAAGGGCATGGACGAGAATTCGTGCAGAGATGTGACTCTCTTTGCAGAAACCTTGGAGGTTTGTGCAGACGTTTTCCATTTGAGTGCAAACTCATTTGAACGGTCGCATAGGTAGCTTTTGCTTTGAGTTTTTCCGAGGAAGCCAGACATTTTTAGGTGGTTGGCTTTGGAAACAGAACGTTTACCTGCAGCCAAGGCGGGGCGCTAAATAGTAAACCGCTTTTACTTGGTTGAGCTGTATTTGAGACAAGCCTTGTAAAGTGCATGAGCAGTCATGTTGGCTTGCTTTTGGTCATGAAAACTCGGACGTCTTTCGAGGCGCTTAGTGCTCAAGCGGTGTGATGGAAAACAGAGTGCGTCTTACTCTTTGCTTTGGTCTGGAATTATTTGTACTCTCACATGTGTTGTGTGCAAGTTGGTTTTGTTGCCCTAAACCCTAAGCCGTATCAAACTTGTCGAACAAGGATAAACCAGCAATCGCGATTTTGGCTGCTTTGTGAGGTCTTGTTTTTGAGACCACTTCTGGCTCCAAAAACGGGGTGCTCCAGGTGTTCCCTCACTGTGCCGGTGTGTCGCTTGTGAGTATTTGTGTAGTCTGCTGTTAGACTTGCTGAAACAATCGTATCATATCATTCTCCTAGAAGTGAGTGTGAGCATCTAGCCTAGGATTGAGAACCAAACGCAGCACGTCACTTGCTTGGCAGTTTAGCTCGAAATTGATTTCTTTTCGCTCAATGCCGTCAAGGACAGGCAAGCGCAAGCAGAATGAAGTACTGTCATTCAACACATTGTCATGCTGTCGGGTACGGGAGGTGATTGCCGCTTTCGTGTATGGGGGCCTGGAGGCATCTGAGCTCACAGCATCGCGCTGGATGCGACGAGATCTTGCGCGCGCAACAGTCTTCGATATCATTCTTAGAACAAGTGATCGACATTTCACGGCGGCGAGGTTTTGTGTTCAAGCATCCTGGAAGGCTGCCCGAGCAGGCAGTAGCTAGCCACGTTATGAAACGCAGTGATGCAGGCGTGGCAACTACGGCGGAACATGTGTTTTCTTCGGTTCTGCTAATCCCTGCATGTACCGTGAGTAGGTTTACACGTTGTGACTAGGTTGCATGTGTTCACCGTTGTACAGCGACAGTTAGCGAGATGAACCGCTTGATCGGACAAGGCGTGTGACAGCTCAAAATGTTAGCATGGTAGCGGAGCTCGGTAAGACACTGAGCGTCCTGATTGTTTGCTTTTACAACTGTGCTGGTGCGAGTGATTGCTCGTTAGACGGGCAATTTGGCGAGTGGGTCTTTGGAAGGCTCACGACATGGCGGATGGCGGAGCGGCGTCATCAAGCCCGGCTGGTGGAGATCCTATGGCACAGATTCGTGCAATGGCCGAGCTTGCTATAGAGACAGCTCGGGCAAATCAAACGGCAATTCAGAGTTTGGTACAGTTGCAGGCAGACAATTTGACGGCGCAGGCGACACGGAGTGTGAGCGGTCAGAACATCTCGGGAAAGGATCTGGTACGCATTTTGAGAAATCCGGAACCGTTTGTTGCGGCCTCAAGAGAGGAAGAATTAGCAAAGTGGAAGAACTGGAGTTGGACATTCGAGCGTTGGTTGTGTGCCCTTGACCCTGGTTTTCATGCAGATTTGGAGTCGTTGCGTCGGCAAGAAGGACCAGTTTTGATGACTGAGACGAGCGAAGAAACATCTTCGAGAAGCAATCTACTGTACTCATTGCTTGCTGGCATTTTACATGAACGAGGCATTCAGATACTGAAGACTGTTTCAGATTTGAACGGTTTTGAGGCTTACAGACTGATTAGCGAAGACCTGCAGCCCCTGGCCCGTACACGTGCATTGGCTTTGTTGCAAGCAATCAACAATTGGCCTGCTTTCTCCATGAAACAGGGACTTAGCAATCAGTTGGCAAGGTTGCAGGAGGCTGAACAGGAGTACGAGCGTGTTACAGCGAGCAAGTTGAGTGACAACCATCGCATGGCGGTTTTGCTTAGATGCTTAAGTGGCCCTTTGAAGGCGTACACAAACATTGTGGTCACTGAGGGCTCAAGCTACGCACAGCTTTGCAGTTTGGCACAACGTTGGGAGACTTCGCAAACGAAATGGGCAAATCCCATCAACAGCATGTTCCACATCAAGGACCAGCCACACAGTGAGGACACTAGTAGCAACATGGAAGTTGACAGGATCAAAGGTGGCTGGGGCAAGCAAGGAAAAGGCAAGCGCAAAGGCGATCAGAAAGGCAAGTTCTCGAAAGGAAAGTTTGAGAAAGGTGGAAAATCCAAGGGCAAAGGCAAGTACAACAACAGCAAAGGTAAGGACTCGAAAGGCAAGACAGGAAAAGGTTCCTATGACATGGTTGCTGGCGATGTTTGCTTGTACTGCGGCAAGAGCGGGCACTGGAAGCGGGATTGTTTTCGCTACAAGAAGGATCAGGAGCAGGCAAGCGTGAAACGTGCTGAGGAATCTTCGCATCAGGCCTACATGGACCATGGCGCTTCATCGGCTGCTTCCACTGTCAGTGCAGGGAGCGGGTCGACCTCAGGCACGTACAAAACAGCTCAGCAGTCGGTGAGAAGGGTATATTCTATGGACGATGGCACAGATGTTTTTGATTTGACAATTTATGAGATGGACGACGAGCAGGAAGATGCTGCATTTTATGATGCGCGCATGATTTCATTTGCAGGTATTTCGGATTCGGCAGTGCAATGTTTCGATATGACTTATTCGGATGGAGATTCGCAGTGGGAATGTGCAGAAGGAATCCAATCAGGATTTGCGGACGTGTCGGTCTCAGAGTGTGCTGCACACATGTTAGATGGTACAGCAATGGGTGGTACACCTATGTGCAGTTTTCATGGGTTTTCAGATGAGCATGGAATTGTTCGTGCAGTGCATGGAGATTCAACTGCGAACCCAATAGATGTGCTTTTGGACAGCGGTGCAGACGTGAGCGTGCTTCCTGAAGAAATGAGTTGTGTAGGTTCGCGAGCGCCGGCAAGGCCTGGGAAGTTCAAGGACGCACAGGGAAACGACCTCAGAATCAGTCAGAGACGGATTGCAGACATTCATTTGCAGTCGAACAAGGGAACGTTTGTTTTGGGAGGAGTTCATAGTCGCGAAGGTATCTCATCCCTTGGTTTCTGTGTGCAAGCTTTTGCGAGCTGGCTGGCAAGTCGGTACTAAGGAGGGAGAGCTTAAACTGTGGAACCAGGAGGTGGAGTTGCCCGCATTCTACAAACGCAATTCCTTGTGTATCTCAGGATCCATTTGTGCCGTTAGCCAGAGCACAAACGAGAGCGATCAGGTGGCAGTCACGTTGAGGCCTGAGCTTGCAGAGATTGGAACAGGTTGGAAGCAGATTAGCGAAACACGCTGGGCCGTGAAGTTGTTCGACATGAATTTCACAGACGTGGCAGCGAGCTTGCCGCGAGCTGAAGTGGACAGAAGGTCAACTCTCATCAAGCAGAATGGGAGATGGTGGGTTATCGAGTTTGCAGACCGTTTGAGTGAGCTTGAGAATGTTTCAGGTAAGATCGAGGAGTTGCAGAAGCCCACCGAGATGATCGCTCTTGCTCATCAAGGATATCAGGACACTGCGAAGCTTGGTTTCGATGTTGAGTCGTTGGCATCATTTCCGGGTGGATCTGCATCAGCAAGCAGCGCGGGGGATGTTCAGGCAGAAGCTGCCCCGAGTGACAGGCCTGCGAAACCTGCCGACCCGGCTAAAAAAGCTGCAGTGGATGAGGCTCGGAGAGATGTGCCAGCAGAAGCGTTGGTCCCAGTGGATGAGCATGAAGTGGAGTTTGAAGGCAAGATGTTGACCATGAAGGACACTTTATCGGTCTTGAGGGAAGCATGCACGAAGTGTGGTATTGGAAAGTCTGGAGGCAAAGCAATCATTTTGAAGCGTCTGGGTCAGCACTTGAAGGCGCAAGACATGAGAGCAGAACAGAAGGTGCGCAATGAGATCTTGCAGGAAAAAAAGCAAAAGGCGAACTCTCCACCAGGTGTGGCTTCGCCTACTCCGGAGCAGGTGGCTGAGCATGAACTCACGCATTACCCTTTTCAGGCGTGGTGCCATCATTGTGCTGCATTCAAGTCCAGGCAGGACAAACATGAGAAGGTTGACGATTCGAGCAGAGCGTTGCCTTTGGTCAGTGCAGATTTTTGTTACACGTCACGGGACCCAGAGAAGGCGGGGTCTCGGGACGACAAAGCGTCCAAACTTTGTTGTTTGGTTTTGCACGATCGCGACAGCAAATGTGTGCATGCAATCCCAACGGCTCAGAAAGGCGGAAAGTGGATGACACAGTTGGTTGTGGAGGTGTGCAGATTTATGGCTTACCTCGGATATCCAGAGCTCATTTTCATGACAGATGGAGAGCCTTCTTGACAGGCTGAAATATGGTGCAAAGACTGTTTTGCGGAACAGCCCGCGCGGCGACCGTCAGGCGAACGGTGCAGTGGAGCGTGCAGTGCAAGCTTTGAGGTACCAGTGCAACATTTTTCTTGCTCAGATGGAGGAAGGTTGCAAATGCAAAGTTGGCACTTTTGACCCGCTTCACGCATGGGCATGGTTGCATAGCGCATGGACCCACAATCGCTTTCATGTGGTGCAAGGCATGACGCCAATGGAGCGAGTTTCATCAGGCTCGGTTTACCGAGGCAAAGTTGCAGCGTTCGGTGAGTGCGTTTTGGCTTACATGAAGGTGCAGAACAAAGGAAACCCTTCCTGGGTAAAGAGCATATGGCTGGGCAAGGTTGCTACAAGCGACATGCATCTGGTGTCAACGGCCGGAGCAGGATTCCATGGTGGAGGACTGGTTTTGACGCGGTCTATCAGGCGTCTCACAGCAGAGCAAAAGTGGGATGCAGGGCTGGCAACGACACTCAGAGGCATGCCCTGGGATTACCCTAGTTACCTTGGAGGTCATCTGGGATTTGGAAGGCCGAGGCGTGCTGCTGAGCCTGAGCAGGATGTTGATGGTGAAGAAGCGCAATTTATGGAGGTTTTGCCAGATGAAGCCCCTTTGGAGGCTTTGGTCATTGGTTTTCCAGGCGACAGAGCAACTGGAGAAGAGGATGAAGCTGCATCAGACCCTGAGACGGTGATCCCGGACGAGCGCACTGCAACGCATGAGAGAAAGGGTGAGTCCGAGGATCAGAGCGAGCCGGCAGCGAATCCGAGGAAGAGTGCGTTCAAAACAACAGATGTGGTGCAACCAAAGGTGAAGGCGGCTAAGATAGAGCCCAAGGTCAGGGTGGTTCCACCTGAGAGCGCTCGTGTGCGGGACCCGGCGGAGGAAGAGCGTGACGCCAAAGCAGCAAAGGTGTCGCCAAGAAAGGAGAGGAGGTTGAATGCCCCACCGATATATGCGGGCGAGCCCACGCCTGGAGAAGGCGGGGATTCTTCTGCTTCAAGGCCAGGAGTTTTGTGTGTTGTTGGAGATGAAGAGCTGCATCATGAGGACGAAGTGCTGGAATTGCCCTATGATGAGCAGCAAGCTGAGACGATGATAGAACATGACCACCAGCTCACTGGCGATGTGGAGGCAGAGCAAGGATTCAAGAGTTCGGAAGGAGATTCGGAGCCCGGTTGGTCCCGGGGGTGAGGAGCCGCAGTTGGCGGAAAGCGACTTGCAGGCGATAGATGATCTCGCCAAGCGCATGGAGGTGGACAGACTCATGACCATGGGTGTTTTGAAGCCCATAAGTAAGCAAGAGGCGCAGGAGTTGGGATTGAGAACACTCAGTGTGAAGTTCGTGACAATTTGGAGACCGAAGCAGCGAGACCAAATTCCGAAGTTTATGCGGCGGGCTAGGTTCGTTGCTCGAGAATTCCACTGGGATGATCCGCATCGGCAACAGCTATTTGCACCGGCGACGTCAAGCTTGGTCATTCGATTGTTGCCGGCCTTGTTCCAACACAAGAAAGCAGAGGGGTTGGACTGGGTGATGATTGCACTGGATATTAGCGATGCATATTTAACAGTGGATCAGCAAATCCCCACTTGTGTGAATGCATGGATTGATGGGGAGGAATGGACATTTCAGCTGGACAAACTGTTACCAGGACAGCGTGACGGTGCGCGTGAGTGGCATGGAGCTTTTACAAGTTTCTTGAAGGAGAAAGTCGGAGTGGAAGGATGCACAGTTTGCCCTTCAGTTTTGCGAGCAGCTGAAGGATTCAATGGTCTTTTGCATGTGGATGAGATGCTTGGAATTGGCACTGAGGACTTTATCATGGAGAGACTGGTGCCCGCAGTGGAAAGCAGATACAAAGTGACGTATGAGCTCATCACCAAGCCCGGACAGGAATTGTGGTTCTTGAAGAGGAAGCTGATATACCATCGCTCACTGCGGTTTATCATTCAGCCCCACCAGAAGAATTTCACAAAGCTGTTCGAGCTGATGAATATCAATCCAGACAGGGTGAACCCGAGGGCAGCACCAATGCCTAGTGGAGGTGCTCAAGCCAAGCTGGCGGACAATCCTTTGGAAGAGCCGTCGGCAAGCAAGTGCAGGGCGGCGGTTGGACTGTTGCTTTATATGAGCACGGACTTGGTTGATTGCCAGTATTGCATCAAGACGTTGGCGCAGTGCGTGGCTCATCCGGGTGCTGAGGGGTGGAAACTTTTGAAGCATCTCTGTTTCTACTTGGTTGGTGTGAGATACAATGCAATTTGCTTTGAACAGCCGATTCTGTATGATGGGCTAGTGACGAAACGCTGTCCTTCTGCGATGGTCTTGGAGACATGCACGGACAGTGACTGGAGTGGAGACAAAGAAACCAGAAAGTCGACGTCGTCTGCTGTGTTTCTGCTCAACAAGAATTGTGTGTACAGCTCTTCGCGATCTCAACGCACAATATCACTGAGCAGTGGCGAGGCTGAATATTATTCCACAGTCAGTGCTGGTTGTGATACGATCTACCTTTCGAACATCATCAAGTTTTGCACTTATGAGAAACCTCTTGGGGTTTATTTGCTTACTGATTCGTCGGCGGCAAGGGGAGTGCTTGGAAGGATTGGTGCAGGTCGTATTCGCCATCTGAGTGGACAGGTGTTGTGGATGCAGCAGCGAGTGGCGCAGGGCTTTTTCCAGGTCGGGACAGTTCCCACGGCAACAAATGTGGCGGACTTGAACACGAAGACTTTGAGCCGAGATCGGGTGAAAATCTTGAGTTTCTTGGTCGGCGTTGTGTCGGGCGAGTTTGAAGGTGAGACAGAAGAATGGGTGCCTGTAGGTTTTGGTGAATACGAGGCCCTCATGATGAAGGAGAACACGAGATTGGCCATCAGGAGGATTAGATCTGATTTGAGTGGCCATGAGGTTTTTGAAGGCGCGAGTAGCACGTCGATCACACAGACGGCAAAGAGAGTGTTCGCAGCTGGGATGATCAGTGTTTTACTGCAGCCTGGCGGCAGCGAGAAGATCGAGCACGACGCCTTGAGCAGAGACAATGAGCCCAATGGTTTGAACAATCAGCATGATTGGATCATGGATGCGATTTTCTTTTGCAGTATTGCATGGATGGCAGTTTGCATTTCTTATGGATGTTTTTACTTGATGAAATGTGGCTACGGCAAGATTTCAGCGTGGTTTGGAACTGCGAAGGTCAAAGAGGAGAACATTGTGTTCATCACTGAGTTTGGAAAGCATTATCACAGACGAAATTGCAAATGGCTCGTGAAGAGCATACTCATCGAGATTGAAGAGAACACTGCAGTTGCAAGGCACTACAAGAAGTGCCACACTTGCCACTACTTGGACAGAGTTGAGTTGGGTGGCAAAAGCAGCGCAAGACAGGGTGCAACTGCATCAAAGCGGAAAGCAAAGGATGGAGGCGTGCGATAACGGAGTCCCGGTTTACTGCAAAGGGCTTGGAGCCTAGGTTTCACTTGAGCTTTTGTTTGAGAGGCTTTTATGCCAATGGCAGGCTATCTCATTCGCTCGTTTGCATCAGGACTGTTGAAATCTCAGCTGATGCGTGGAGAAAAGGATGAAATCCCTTTCCATGTGGATTTCAAGGCATTTCAAGGCGGGGTGCTAATCCCTGCGTGTACCGTGAGTAGGTTTACACGTTGTGACTAGGTTGCATGTGTTCACCGTTGCACAGCGACAGTTAGCGAGATGAACCGCTTGATCGGACAAGGCGTTTGACAGCTCAAAATGTTAGCAGGTTCAAAGTATGCTGCCGCCTGCAGAACGCTGTCGTGGCCACACTGACCGAAACCGCAGACTTTGGGTTCAGCGGCTTCGACGACGCTGGAAGCTGCGACGCGGCATGCCACAGGTTCTCCTCGCTAGTGCAGATACTGCCGCAGAAGTGTCGCAGAAGGCTGGCTTGAACTAATAGAAAAAGCTGTTTCGTTTGACTACTGATTGAGTCCATTTTCGGCTCATCCAAGAGATCGTTTTTAGGCAATTTGCGGTCCTGTTTTTGGCGCCGTGATTCGGACTGTTTTCCCGAAAGCATCGCGAAGGGTTGCCTTGAGCCAAGTTACATAGAGCCAAGATACCTGCGCCTTGAAGGGGGGGCAGCTTGGGGCTCTGGGCGTACTGCTCCATGACGCCGGGCGCCGCTCGGCTCTCCAGGCTGGTGGGCTGCGCGCTCTCTCTCAGCGTCTTCTCGCTGTGACAGTCGCCGCGCAGCGCCTGCAGAGTTTGCACGCCTGCCGCACCGACGCAACGTGGTCCAGCTCGCAGGCGCCGGCCCGGCTGCGCGTCCGCGGCGTCAAAGCGCCTCAGCACCCGCTTCACGGCCCTGTACATGTAGCAGCGCCCGTCGAAGGAGAAGCGCACGGTGCAAGCTCAGCACGCGCATCGGGGCGGGCAGGTGGCGCGCTCGGTATCGAAGCCTCCACGTTGGGCAAGCTAGTATCCTGGAAAGCGGTAGGATTTAATGTCCACCTTATGGACATTAAAAACACGTGATTTGTATGACTTGGCGGGCTGGTGTGGCTCCGGATGCCGGGCAGGTGGCATGGTGGAGGCTTCTATGCCAGGCAGGTGGCGCGGCCGGGTGGAGGCTTCTATGCCAGGCAGGTGGCGCGGCATGGTGGAGCCTTGATGCCGGGCCATTGTTGACTCATGCAGGACTCATGTAGGACTCATGTAGGACTCATGTAGGACTCATGTAGGACTCATGTAGGACTCATGTAGGACTCATGTAGGATTCATGTAGGACTCATGTAGGACTCATGTAGGACTCATGTAGGACTCAATTCCGACCTTGGTGGGAGAGCAAAGTCGACCTCGGTGGGAGAGCGAAGTCGGAATTCCGACCTCGGGTTGCGCAGGGCAGGCTGGCGGGGGGCCTCGATGCCAGGCAGGTGGCGCGGCAGGGTGGAGGCTTCATTGTTGAGTCAATGTTGAATCAATTTGGAACCATCTTGAGTCAACAATGGATCAATATTGACAGGTCCACCTTTTTTTTTAGAGGGGTTCCCAAATGGATTCTATTCTACCTGACAGGCTCCCAGCACTCGTCCGTCCAGGAAACGACCTTGTCCTGCGAAGGATTCGAAACCTAAAACGCTGCGTGCAGGCGTTTGGCTGCAATATAACGACCCCGAGATATGCGCCGCAATTTGGCTCCAGTTCAAGCGAGGTCAAGCTTTGCCAAAAAGGAAACCCCTTTTCCCTTTTTTTTCGGGACCCCTTTTTTGGGGACCCCTTGTTTTCTTTTTTTTGTTTTTTCCTTAGCCCTGCAAAGGTTGGCTCGCTTGAAATGCAACCTGGAGCCAAATTGCAAGCATATCTCGGGGTCGTTATATTGCAGCCACACGCCTGCACGCAACGTTTTAGGTTTCGAATCCTTCGCAGGACAAGGTCGTTTCCTGGACGGACGAGTGCTGGGAGCCTAAGTAGAATAGAATCCATTTGGGAAACCCCCTCTAAAGAGAGCGGCCCTTATTTGCCGGGCAACTCAGGGGCAGCAAATGGAAACTCGCATATGGCTTGTTCCAGTGGACGGCAGCGACAAGGCAGCCTCAATCTTGCAGGATTTACCAAAAGGAAGTGTGGTTCATCGCCAGCTTTGCCAGGAGGATATACGGGGCTTTTTTGCTCAGTTTTTCGGTGTGCAGAGACGTTGGGAAGAGGTCCACCTTCCTGAGGGCACGAACTTTTCGGACACTGGAGACAGGTTTGAATTCCTAGAAGCGGGTATCCCAAAAAAACTTCGTGAAGGAGGCCGTCAGCAAAGCACACACGAGCGTACATTCTCAGCCCAGAGAAGAGTTGAGAAGCTTGGTGCAGGACAGCGGGTTTGCCACTTCAGGACCTCCAAACGGTTTTCTTCAAGAAATGGCTGAAACGCACTTTTGAGGTTTGGGGGGAGGAGGCGGTGTTACACGAGTCACTCCTCCGCACTTGCAAGCTTTGCTCAAAGGCAAACGCCTGTTACTCTGGAAGGAGCTGCTGGTCGAGTTTGAGAGCCATCGTTGATGACATCGTCAGTGGTTTCAAACTCACTGGTTGGGCCGAATCGACCGGAGTTTTTAAACCTTGTGTCAGGCCTCCTAAGTGCACGGTGGATCATCTTTGGGGCTCCTCAATCGGCTTGTGCCAGGCAGTCTTGTCGAAGGTTCTCACAGGTGCGGATGACCTGGAAACTCACTCAAGAAGAAAGTGGAGAAAGGCTGGATCGTGCCCACAACCAACTCCGACCTTGACCAGTGTTTTCTTGCCCACAGATTCGGAATCGTCCTGGGCGAGAAGATTCGCCTCATAGACGACTTTTCTTGGGAGGCTTAAACGGGGCGTTTGGGTTGACAGAAAAGCTGGGCGTGGAGCTGGTGGACGGATTCTGATGCATCCGCACGCAAAGTAGTTGGGAGGACTTACAATTTGGTGTCCGCATATAAGCAGTTCGGCGTTTCTCCCCAAGAAGTGGATCGACTGCGAGTTGTGGTGAAAGTCCCGGGCAAATCCAAGTACGCCGTCTTCAAGGTGCTGGCATTGCCCTTCGGTGCTGTTGGTAGTGTAGCAGCTTTCCTCAGAGTAGCTGCGAGCGTTTCTTTCTTAGCCCGACGTGCGTTGAAGCTGGCCGTCACCGCTTTCTTTGATGACTTCACTTGCCTCAGCCAAAACCAAAAAAACCTCCACTGACTTCGCGATCACTGGCCTGTTCAAACTTCTTGGAGTCGATTACGCTCGTGAAGGGAAGAAGGCCCCGGACTTCTCAGATTGTTTTGCTTGCTTAGGAGTCGTGGTTGACCTAGGCCACTTTGGCGAGGGTCAGATTCGCATCAAACATACGGAACAAAGACGTCACGATCTTGCTCACCATGGTGAGATCACTCACAAGACGGCTGAGAAACTGCGTGGCCGGATGACCTGGTTCTTGTCCTTTCTTCTTGGAAGGCAGGCCGACGCAGTTACTCGGATGCTGGGTCAGATTGTCAAATCGGGTCGGCGTCAGTTTCGTTTGGACAAAGAACACACACTCCTTTTGGATGCAGCGTTGCAGATGGTCGCGAAAAGTGAGCCGGTAAAAATCACACGTAACCTCCTGGAATGCTGGTCTCTCTGAAGCCGGTTCATAAGATCCATCCGTAAAGACAACCCACGTTTTGAGATGGCTGCTCCAGGACCGGCAGCATCCAATCTTCGAACTAGAGCTCTTGCCGGTTTGGGTAGCTTTCACCATGTGGCAAGGTTTGCTATCTGACGCGGCGTGGGGCGCTCTCGTGGCGGGACACACGGAGGGCAGGGCTGGACAACATCTGGTATCGCAATGCGTCAGTCGGAGGCTGGTCACCGACAATCCACCTGGTATGGCCGTGTACCTACGCACTCCAATATCAGCGATGCCGAGCAGACTAGTCTTTGATCACCCTTTGCTGAGAGGCGTTGAAAGGTTTTCCCTTCCTTGGGATCGTTTCGATTTTCCGTGAGCACGTTTATGTGGGGAGACACGGGTGCCCGCGGAATCAGGCTATCATTTGCCTCGTGGTAAGCGGCGCCTTTTAAAAGTCAATCAAAGACTGTGGATTTCCCCAGTGCTCGTTTGAGCGGATGAAAAGAAAGAGCCGATCCTGTGTGTCAGCATTTCTCGCTCTGGATGAGCTACACCTTTTTCTATGAACCCCATTTTGTGGTTTGCCCTCTCCCCCCTTCCTTCTGGGGACCTGCTCGATGGAAGATACTTTGTTGCAAGCAGGTTTGAGTGCGAGAGCTGGAGGAATAAGTAAGCCCTCCTGAAAGGATGGACACCTTATTCTGTAAGCTCAGCATTGTTGCAAATTGAATTATCAACCAGATAGCAATTTGTGTGACCTGCTGCGACAAAACAACCATGGGCGACATGACTTGTTCACTGCGTGAATTTTCCCTTGAATTTTGAACAACTGTATTTGAGTCACCCCTTTGCATGTGTTGCCTCCAACATCCATGTGAACATGAATGTTCATGCACTGGCTCCGTGTGGGGTAGTGGTGGGTGGTCCAGCTAAATAAGCTGGCCAACAATTTTGACTCCCGCCCGCCCACACCAGGGAAACACAGGTGCCCACGAAACCAGGCTATCATTTGCCTCGTGGTAAGCGGCACCGTTTGCAGGGGAGACACGGGTGCCCACGGAATCAGGCTATCATTTGCCTCGTGGTAAGCGGCGCCTTTTAAAAGTCAATCAAAGACTGTGGATTTCCCCAGTGCTCGTTTGAGCGGATGAAAAGAAAGAGCCGATCCTGTGTGTCAGCATTTCTCGCTCTGGATGAGCTACACCTCTTTCTATAAACCCCATTTTGTGGTTTGCCCTCTCCCCCCTTCCTTCTGGGGACCTGCTCGATGGAAGATACTTTGTTGCAAGCAGGTTTGAGTGCGAGAGCTGGAGGAATAAAGAGGGGTGCAGACCCGGGGAAAGGACACGCGCTGTTTTTTTCCCCTGCACCCCCGAGCCTTAACTTCCAAGCAACGCCTTTTAAAGAAAAAGAGCATGCGCACAGGTTTGTCGGTCGTGCTCTTGTTTCTTTTGCTGCATGTTCCCTTCGGATTGAAGCAGTGATCAAGATTCTAACACGCATGTCTTGCGATCTGTTTCACAGGGGGGGGGAATATCTCGCCCCTTGCCCTGGGTGCACCGCAGTGCCCTAGGAAAGTGCTACCTCCCCAAGCAACCCGGTAAAAGAGGTGCGCGCCTTGCGGTCGGCTTTTGGTTCTGGGTTATTGGTGATTTGAGGCTAGGAGCAGTGCGCGGGACCTTTAACAGGGTCGCCTTTTTTCAACGGACTTCCCCCGTGTTTGCCTTAGGAGGAAAAAGAGCAGCGTTGTCCGCGATCTTTTCCAGATATTAACAAACAAGGGTGGTGAAAAGAAAAATAACTGCTATAAAATTGAGTGACACACACTTGCTGTGCATGTTGTATGTTCTTGCATGTGTTTGTCCTTGTTTGCATTTGCGTCATGTTTTTGCACTTTTTTGAATTTTATTGCATTTTTCATGTTTTTGCACATTTTCTTGCATGTTTTTGCATTTTTTCGTATTTTTTGCATTTTTTGCATGTTTTTGCACTTTTTTGCATCTTGTTGCACATTAGATGCAAAATAATATAATTTGATATAATTTGACAAAAATTGAGGTAATGTCTAAACCCCATGGATCTGGGACCCCTAATGCAATCAATGATCAGAGAGGTTGAGGCGTCCAGCCAGGTAGCTGTCAACCGCCTCTGCGTGGGCTGGAAGTCACCCCGAACCTTCGCTTAGGGTTTTCTTTTCCCTTGTGTTTAGGGCCTGTTGTGAATCTCGTACGCGGTGGCCATTTTGGTAACTCTGAAATGCCTTCTGCAATCATGTCCTGCTCCATGGCTGCCGGGTTGCGCCAGAAGCTGCGTAGGTGCTCTGGCAAGCTAGGCCTTCGGTCCGTGGCCAGCAGGGCGGCGGCAAAGCCGTGGTGGCGCTGGGGCACGCGCTTTTGAATCTCTGGAAAGTTGAACTCGCGCAAGTTGCGGGATGGCACGTTCATCAGAAGCCATTGGCCGTAGAAGGCGTCGTTGAGCCGCCAGAGATATTGGACGGCCACGGCAAGCTGGCCACGCGCGGGGGTTTTGTTTGCGAACTCTGACAATGTCGCTGTTCTGTCGGGGCTGTTTTCGCGCAAGGCTTTGTAAGCTTGCTTGACCCACGGCGCAATGTTGCCGTCGTCCTTGGTCTTTCGCAAGAAGTCAAGAAAATTCAGGTCATTCTTGCGCCACGCGCTGTCCAAATACTGCTGCAGCTGTCGGGGCGGCTCTTGCCCAAGCTTTGGGGCCACCCGGTCTCTCTTGCCTCCTGATCTTGTTCCCATGTCCCACTGTCTGAAATTGCCACAAATGGGTGACCCAATTCTGGATGATGAAACCCCCCAGCCCCACCCCAGGCAGCAAGCAATGGTTTGCTTGAAACAGCATGTCACATGCGGGAACCGAGCTAGGGGTCGGCCTGAACATGGCAGCTCACTTCACTGAAGAGCGACATCTCGAGCTGCTTTTGAACTTGAACTTGAAATTGCGCATACTGGAGGACCTGGGCCGTGAGCCGCTCGTGTTTCGACAGCTTTAGGCCTGCGAAACCGTAGATGAATTGCACCTGCCCAAATTCGCATCTCCCAAAACCCGACGATGTTATTGTGGTTGTTTTGCGTGCTCGCCCGATGGAAGATAGGCTTGGACTTGATCCATAACGCTGGGGTGCAAACCACTGGCACGTTGATTAAAACTCTCGTGGTTCACGTCTTTGCAACACAAATGGAACTGTACGCTCACTGATGGTGTCGTTGCTGACGATAGCACTGGCAGGGCATTTCCGCTGAGGCAACCCGGAAAAATGCAACGAATGGCTAAGTTGAGCAGTGCACTTTGCTTGTTGCACTACGAGCAGATCGATGCAACTTGGTGCGGTGAAGCTCAATAAGCCCGCAAATGGCTGCAGAGGGAACTGAGTGTCTCTTTGCAGGATGGGAAGCCCCTTTGCGAATTTTGCTCGTTGATTGGAACGTTGCGATTTTGAAACAGCTTCAAATCAAAAGGGCAGTCATGACAAACTTCTCCAACCTGGACCAGGTTAGGCAGTTACGAATCAAACCTTGAGGCCGGCTTGAGGCCGTCTGTGCTGTGAAGGAGAACGAATCATGGTCGTTCAGGTTTATATTTTTGGGCAAGGGATAACTGTCATTGTGCAGCTTGAACACCCAAACACAATTTGGCTAGTTGTCACGATGTAAAGCCGCACGCGTGGTTGGAAAGAGCATGCGGGTTTGCTGGAATTTATTCATTATGTGTAGTGCAAACGCTGGATCACATGCAGCAAAACCACATGACCCTGTTGGCCAGTTTGTATGTCAATTGATTGATAGGGCTGTGGACATTTGCAATTTTGACGACATACGTGTCATGAAGCTGAGTTTGCACAATGATTAAGAACGTGTTTGCATACACATCTTACCTTTAACATGTTCTTTCAGCCGTGCTATTTCTTTTCGCGAACTGTCACTGCCTTTGCCCCTCATGTTGCTTGATGTTGTGTAAAGACTTGGGTGCTCGAACTCGGCATGTGTGCCAACAGGCACTTGTGAGCCTTCATGTGCCAAACACATCGCATTTTTAATTTGCAAACCGGTCTTATTCTTGCCGTCCACAATGCCTTCCCGAGGGAGATTGTCGGATTGGATAGAAAGAGTTTCTATTTTGTGACGGCGCTGCGCGGTTGAGGTTTTGGTGACCTACACATATAGCTGTTGTGTTTGACTTGCGGGCTTAGATGCAGCACTTGTGGCGCGCCCGCAGCCAGTGCGAGTCTGGGTTCGACAGAGTACAAGCCCTGCAAACAAGTGAGTGCACGTCCTTTTTGGCTTCGAGGCCGTGTGCGGAATCTGCAAGCACAATGCTTGAGCTGGCAAAGCGTTTTGGCTGTCAGAACTGATGTTCATCAAATTTGATGTGATTCGAAGGCAAAAGGTAAACCTCCCGCACGTGCGAGGTGGCTGGTATGACGATTGGGAAGGACCACATGCGCTGACGGACGATGTGTATGAGTGCTTTTCCAAGCCCAAAGCCCCAATCAATTTTACCATCCTGCAAACAAGTAATGTGTATATGTACATAGGTATATGCTAGAGCTGAGTATTGGGGTTTTAGGGGCAATAAATTGATGACTGGAAGCGATAAGTGCATGCGAGCCTGCGTGCACGAAGACAAACATCGCGGACGTTCAAGTGCCATCGACCTGGACATATACTAACAGGCACACTAAACTGAGTGTTCTACCACACCTGAACAGATCCAATATGGTTTGAAGAGTTGGGAGAGTTGTGGCAACAGTATGTGAGCTAAGATATGTGCATCATGCAGGCACAAATGGCATGCGTATTGTGATCAGCTCACTACTGGCGCTTTGCAGATGGATTGTAGGAGAACAAGTCATTGCCAATGCGCACGTCCGAAGCTGTCACGCCGGTGAAAAAGGCCATTGTTACGGGCCAACAGCTGTGCGCATGCCAAGCGAGGCTGCTTTGGGAAGACAATCTTTTTGCAGAGTTAGCCATGTACCGATTCCCTTGCGTCAGGCATCGCGCCACTCTCGAGTGGGCCTTGATCGCAACCAGAAGCTTGCCTGGGAGGCTTATATTGCTTGCTTGGCATGAGTTGAGATTTCTTTCGCCCTTTGCCCATTGTTTGAGCTTCTCGATGAATCTCATGGATCCACAATATGGCCAGGAAAGCAAGCCTTGGAGCAAGACAAGGTGCTGTTTGTGCAAGCTGAAGTCACACGTTTTCAAATGTGCATTTTTTCAGTTGCGCTGACCCTAGCTGTTCATTGAACACATGCGTGATACAGTATCTGACTCACGCGAATGGCATGGCCACTGCATGTGATTGTGCTGGCTGCATCAGCTTCAATGAATGACAGACTCAAAATCTGCAAGATGCGCGATGAGTCCCTCCAGACCTGACATGAATCTGTTTTGCTAGATGAACAGAGTTGCACCGTGTTGCACCTGTTGGCTTTCTCTTCAATCGTGATTCCACAGATCTCTGGCTGAATCAGAAAAGCGCAGCTCAAAGCCGTAGGCCACACGTCCGAGAGTTTTACTGAACTTCAACAAGTTGGACTTGAGTTTGTTCAAGAAAGAGGATGCGACACTGCGCCACTGCGCCACGTTGCCATGCCTGGCTATCGGCTGTACAAAAGTGCAGTGGCTGGCGCGACCGGGCGTATCGGCAAGGTGCGGTCTCCTCTTGCAACCAGTTGGTGGTGACAAGTTTCATGAGTATCAAGATCTATCCTGCTTTGTCCCAGGCATTGACGAGGCAGCTTCTTTTGTCGCCACTGTGCGAAGAGGCCTTTCGCCCGTGCGAATGGGACTGAGCTTTCGCCTCGAAATTTGTGAGGCGCACATCGTGGCAAGGCGCAAGGTCGGCTTTCCGGAGTCCATGCCTGAGGGATTCGCATCTCTCCATACTCCAGCTTTGTTTTGCTCATTTGGAGTGGCTAGACAGAAGTGACGCGCAAAATGTTTTAAGCCAGGCTTGCAGCTTCCGCCAAGCTCCGACACCACGTTGCTGACTTCGGCGGCTCGGCTGCGCTATTTTGTGCCATTGTGGTTGAGGAAATAAGTCTCCGACTCTGACTGGCAGCTTCGTGCGACGAGAGCTGAGGTGCAGATGTGTGCGGTCTGCAGGCCTCAGCTTTGAAGGGTGTTGATGCTGCCAGACGCTCGGTGCCTAGCTTGCTTCAAGCGCGTGAGCTTTGCAATCCTAGGCCTTCTGTTTGCTTGGTGCGCGTTCTGGATGGCACGAAGCTCACGGGGATCCGCCTTCCGGCGAGGGACAACCGGCAGCTTCATGCGGATAATGCATGTTTGTTTGTGTGTCTGTTCGCGCAGCGCAGTAGTCTGTTTGTCTGTTTGCGTGTTCATTGATATGTCAGAATACTGTAAATGTTTGCTTGTTTGTTCGTGTGTTCGTCCGTTTGTCGATTTGTTTGCTCGTGCGTTAGTTTGTCTGTCTGTTTGTTTGTCTGTTTGTCGGCCTGTTTGTCTGTTTCTCTGTTAGTTGGTTGGCGTGTTAGTCCGTTTCTTTATTTGTCCGTGCCTGCAATTGTCTGTTTGTCTGTTTGTTTTTCGGCCTGTTTATCTGCTTCTCTGTTTGTCTGCTTGTCCGTTTGCCTATTTGTTTGTTTGTTTGTTTGTTTGTTTGTGTGTCAAATATACACTTTCCCCCCATGCCTATGTCATGATACGACTGCCACTTTGGTGGCTCAAGCATGCGCCTGAGGAAAAGGTGCTGAGTCACTTCGCATACTTCGGTTTGTGGTTGGTGTGACTTTAGAGTCCTTGGAATTTTCCATGGTAGCGGAGCTCTGGAACTTTCCAGAGCGTCCGAAGAACTTTGTTTGGGGTTTGAGCCATGGACATAGGCGCACTTGGAGACGACGCTGGGGACATGGCTGGCAGACTTAGGTTGCCAATGCCATCCACTCACAATGGTTCGCCATCGGAGTGGTCCTGGGACTTCAAAGCATACATTTCAATGTTTGAGACTTCTGCGATTGGGGTACTTGACAGGGTTGAAGGAAGAGCTGAGCCAATTCAGGATGAAGACTTGGCAATCACTTTGGACACTGGTGATCCAGATGTGGAAGCATCGAGAAAGGCGGTGACTTTCAGCCGAAAGCTGCACTACTTGCTAGCGAGCCTCACTACAGACACTGCAAGACTTATAGACTGCGGCTTGCCCAGAAGTTTGCACTGCCAGATGCCACAAGGCATGTCTCACTTTTAGCTCAGCTCCTAGACTTCAAGTTTAACCCAGCAATTTTGCAAGCTGACTTTAACAACTGGGAAACCATTAAAGTCAAGTATGAGCGACAGACTGGAACCGAACTTCCCGATAGCGTGTTAGTGGCGACTTTGCTGAACAAGACCACTGGAGCGGCTTTGCAGCAGCACTTGCGACTAAATGCAAGGTCACTTAACACCTACGCGCAAATCAAAGACGTCATAGTGGAGTACTTTCGTTCGCGGCACATCCTCACTTCGAACAACAATGGCCCAGCACCAATGGACATTGGAGCACTTTGGAGGAAAGGCAAAGGCAAAGGCGGCTGGCTCACTTTGGCACAAAGGCAAAAGAAAAGGACTTTCTTGCCTTTTGCGTTTGCGTGAAAGTTCCAGTGGAGTCCCTTTCCTTTACCTTGGGGCCAAGGTAAAGGACAGGGACTCCACTGGAACTTTCACGCAAAGGCAAAAGGCAAGGCAGGCAAAGGAAAAGTTTGAAAAAGGAAAAGGCAAAGAGAAAGGCAAAGGTAAGAACTTAGGTCCCCAACTTTGCTGGACTTGTGGTAGACCAGGTCTAACGCTTGTCCCAACAGGAGAGTGCACGCACTTGAAGAAACAGAAGCGCTTCAGGATTCTTCCTGGTTGGCAGAGGAGTCGGAGAACTTTGTGTACTTCGACAACAACGTGTACAAGGACCCTTGGGTTGCTTGGGACACTTGGAGCGTGAACGCACTTTGGGAAGATGATGCTTGGTGGCATGATGCTTGGACTTGGGAGTCGGACACTTGGGGTTGGTCACAGCCCGATGTCACTTCCACTTTGGACAGTCGTGACGCAGCAAAGAACTTGACAAAGAACACTTCAGGAGCAGATGCTTTGGCTTCTAGCTCACTTGGAGTTGCTGCAGTCACTGCGAGCCCGCCGGGACTTCCAAAGCCTAAGGCTAAGCCTGTTCCGAAAGCGTCTGTGGCTTCCAACTTTATGTTGGCTGCCATTATGCTCGGAAACTTTGGCGCAGGGAGTTCACTTGGACTTGGACTCGGAAGTGTCAAGACAGATGACATGATGACTGGCTTGGTCGACTTTCACTGAAAGGTTGCTTGCCGCTTGGTTTGCTTGGTAGTACTTGTTCGCATGGCAACGTGTTGAACACGTTGGTTGGCTTGCCAGTTGCACCACTTGAGACTTTCGCACTTGATGGACCGACAGTTTCACGACATGTCACTTTGAAAAAGGTTGAAAGACTTGAGCTTGAGTGTGAACACGGAGTTTCACGATGTGTACTTGCAAGAACAACTTGCACCAGCAGTGTTGCATTACACAGAGCCCTGGATACTTTTTGATTCAGGAGCAGCTGCCCACTGTTGTCCAAAGGAGTTTGCTCCAGCAGAGTGCTCTTGCCACTGACTGGACGCGCACCACCACTTAAATCCATCGGGGCCACTTTTGATCTCTGCTGGGAAATTTGTACAGTTTGAGCTTGATGGTTGTACCTGTTGGTTGCACTTCTATGTCTGTGACGTTCCATATGCTGTGTGCTCCGCAGCTCGACTGTTGATGCAAGGTTACGGTGCTGAACTTGGTAAGGAACACTCTTACTGAGTGGCACCAGGAGGCACAAAGATGGGAGTCGCGCGACATGGTTCACTTTTGTTTCTTCGACGTAAAGTTGTGGACTTCAGCAAACAAGTGTTTGAAGAGGTATGTAACCAGTACTCTGGAAAGGCAGCTCCAGACCACTTGGTTGCCCCAAATTTTCAACTTGTCTATTACTACGCAGATAGATGAGTAATTGAGGGAAGAGGATACTTTGTTCACCCCAGAACACACCAAAGACGGCCCGGTTGCCGTGACTGACTTGGCTGGAGAGCGAGTCACGCGCTTGGAGTATGAAGACGGCGCCAAGGCAGAACTTGTTGACAATTGGCAGACGGCTGAACCAAACTTGACAAGCCTTTTGTCGGAAAGACTGTGTTCAAACTTGCGTCTAGGTCAACTGTAATTGACTTACAGTCCACTTTGCCGGTACCAAAGGCTGCGCCGAAGCCTGAGCCTCGTCCACTTCCGAGAGTGGAGGAGCCTTCAGCGGTGCTACAGCCATCGGCGGAACTTGCGCCTGCGCAGCACTTTCCGTAGCAACCTGCGCGAGGCTGCTGGAGGCACTTTAGAGGCCTACCAGACCACAATCCTGGAGCAACTTCGTCAAGTTGATCCACCCACGAACCAACCTTACGACCATGACCTGTGGATTGAACTTCCACTTGTTTGGCTACGGATTCATTGTGTTCCGTGGAATACTTTGTTTGTTCCAGAGGACGAAGAACTCGTTAGAGGACTTGCTGACGGACGTTTGACTTTGAAGGTTGACATTGACGGAAACGCAACTTGGTCGGAGGACACTTGGCGTGCAGCAGGCGCTCAGCCTGTTGACTTTGCGTTCACTGGTGGCACACTGTTGGAGAAACCTGATTTTCCACTCGACGCAGAACCTGAAAACTCTGGTGACTTGCTGGCGCAACGGCCTCGAGGACTTCCTGTTCCGACAGGGCCGACTGACTTGGGACGCTAGGAACATAGCTTGACGCACTTGCCATTTCGATCATGGTGTCCCGTGTGCGTTCAGGCCAAATCCCGGCAAAATCAGTCGCGGACTTTGTCCTTGAAACAGCCTGTTATCCAGCTTGACTTTTCGTTCTTGTCGGATCAAGCTGGAGGCCCGCAGGTTACTTTGTTGAACGCGCTTGATGTGTTGTCTGGCTTAGGACTTGCTGTCGTAATCCCAACAAAGGGTCGAAGCACTTACACTCAGGCTGAACTTCGACGTTTCATCCTAGAGGTTGGACGCACTTTCGGAGTGCTCCAGCGCGACCCAGAGCCAGCGCTCAAGGCACTTGCCGAGACAGTGACTTCTGAGCTTGGTGGCTTGGCCATGCGCGCTGCACCCACAGGATGGAAGGAGGCCCAAGGCTCCATCGGGAATGCGCAGGCCACTTTGTACGCTCAGGCCCGCGCTCTCAAGCTTGACTTGAAGTCAAGGTACAAGGTCGAACTTTCAGTTCACGACCCTCTGTGTACTTGGCTCATCAAGCATGCTCAATGGCTGTTGAACCGCTACTTGGTCAAAAGTGACGGCCGCGCTCCATACGAGAAACGATGGGGTCGGCAGTTCACTTCAGCCATTTGTAGCTTCGGAGAGACGTGCGCTTTTCGGAAGCCTGGGCTTGCAAAGTGACAGCCCCAACTTTGCAAGGGCATATGAATATGGATAGGTGTGGACGGAGAGCGGAACGCACTTCTGCGCTGACTCTGGCGTGTTTAAGACACGCACGGTGAAGCGACTTTCGCCTTCGCTTCAGGTTAACGTGGAACTTCTGAAAGGCGTTCGTGCGAGACCTTGGGACCCGAGTGGAACTTCGGTTGAAACGGATCGCTTTGTACTTCCTCTTCAGCCAGAGCAACCCCCACAACTTTCGTCCGAGGGGGCGCAGGCTTCTAAGCCCGCTGAGCCCAACTTGGCGCAAGATGACGTTCCTGCGTCCGAACTTCAAACTGACCGTGATGATGACTCCGGCGACTTGACTGCAGGCGCAGCGTCATCTAGACGGCGACGGCGACCGCTTGAAGCGTACTTCAGTCGAAGAAGCTGAAACCGAACAAGGTAGCAAGATCCAGCGTGTGTTGGCACTTGCGCACCCTGAGCTTGCTGACCAACGGATGATGCTCTACGACTGTCGGGTCTCAGCTGTCACCACAAAGGACTTGCTTGAAGTGCCTGTTGTGGTGAACCAGGATGGGTCTGAACTTTTGCTCATGAAGACGCTTGAAAATCCGTATTCGTGGTGTGGAAGCGGAGTTTGAACGTGACTTGGAGATTGCAGGAGTGAGGCGAGAGATGCGCTCGATGCTTGACTTTGATGTGTTCTATGAAGAGCGTGTTGATCAACTTACCCAAGAGCAGCTTGACAACGCCATTTCCACGAAATGGGTCAAGACTCGCAAAGCGTCCGTTGCAGA